ATCTTTTTATTTCTATTAAACATTTAGATATCCTCTTTTGTAGAGTATCTATAAGTCTTTCCTCTTTTTCCATTTAGCTGACTGGTTAATTTTTTCTTATTAATTTATAGGGTTATATATTGAGGTTTTGATCTTCTATCATATATATATATATTGTAAATATTGTTTCTCACTGTGAATAGTGGCATCATCTGATAAATAGAAGTTTTGAATTTTTAAGATAGTTTAATATATTAGGATTCTTTTTCCTCCTATCTTTAATGTTTATATCCTACTTAAGACCTCTTAAAGCCATGAAAACACGTGTTGTCCTATAGCAGCTGTATTATTTTTTCTTTCATATTTGGGTCTACAATCCACATGGAAGACTTATTTTTCACTGTTTTCTAGATGGACATCCAGTTGACCCAGGATCATTTACTGAAAAGGCCTTTTCCCCATTATTCTGCATTTTCATTTCTGTCAGACATTAGTTGACTGCAAGTACATGACATGCTTGTGCAGCTGTAAGCATGGGTTCTATAATCTGTCCCTTTGGTCTATTTGTGTACAAGTTTATTTCTAGTATGTCCTGTTTCATTTCTTCTGTCTACTCTTGTGCCAGTGCACACTGTTTTAATGACTGTAGCATTATAATGAGTCATACTTGCTTTTTTTTTTTTTTTTGCTCTTAGAATTTTAGAATTGGCTATACATCTTCTAAAAACTTCCTGCTGAGATTTTGATAAGAAGTGTTTGTTGTTTTTGATGTATTTATTAATATCTTTTGAAAGTTTCATTTTCCAATTATTTGTAGCTGTTGTATAGATACACTATTGGTTTTTGTATTTCCTGTTAATTCTAATAGATTGTGCATGAAGTATTCCATATTGTGTTTTTATATGAACACAGTCATGTCATCAGATAAATAACATTTTTATTCCTTTCTTTCTAATCTTTTTTTTCATTTTTTCTTTTTAACCTTGAATTTGTTAGACTTCTAGTACAATGTTGAGTGAAGTAATGAAAGCATAAATGTTTATTTTATCTCAGTCTTGGGAATATTTTTAATATTTTATAATTAACTGTTGTTTAGTATAGTTTTTTATCAGTACTCTTAATCAAATTAAGAAACCTGCTCTACTTCTATGAATTTTTACCATGACTGGGTATTGAATTGAATCAGAGGTCTTTTCAGCATCTATTTAAATAATGGTATGGTTTTCTGCTTTATTCTGTAAATGTGAATGACATTGAGTGATCAAATACAAAAACAACCTTGAATTTCAGTTTATTTGTGACATTTTATCTTTTTATGTCACTATATTTCTTTTGCTAATATTTTATTTAGGAATTTTGCATCTGTGTTCATAAAAGAGAATACTCTGTGAATTTATTATTTATAATATCTTCATCAGATCCATGTGTGTCAGTTTTATAAAATCAACTAAATATAAAACTGATGTTATTTCTTCATTCATTAATTTGGAAGAATTTACTAGTGAATCTATCTCTGCCTAGAAATTGCTTGGTGAAGAAGTTTTAAAATGAAGATCCTATGTATTTATTAGATATAAGATCATTTAGATCTTGTTTTCTTTTGTGCCTGTTTTATTACATTATGTTTTTCTAGGAGTTTGAATCTTTTATCTAAATCATCAAATGTATTACCCTGAAGTTTTTTCATTGTGTTCTTATTCTCTTGTAAATCTCTGTGGAATCTGTCCCAACGTCACCTTAACATTCTTAATATTGGTAATATGTCTTGTCTTCATTTGTCTTGCTAGAGGACTATCAAGTTTTTAATTAATTTGTTTTTTTTATTTCTTTTCATCTTTGTTGGGTTTAATTTGTTGTTTTTCTAAATGTTTTTGAGATTGACAATCAGTATATATGTATATTTCCTACCACATGTGACTTCAACTGTGTCTTAAAAGTTTCAATTCTTATTTGTATCATCATTAAGTTCAAATTTTTTTTCTAATTTTTGTCATGATTTCTTCTTTGATATATCAGTTGTTTAGAAATGTATTACTTAATTTAGAGGCTATATTAGTCTTTCTGGTTTGTGTTACCACAATAGAATACTCAAATTTCATTTTGCAGCTTTTTTTTCAAATTATATTTTGCTACATTCTTTATCTCCTCTCATTACACAACTACAGTTATATATATATATATATATATATTCACTCATTTGACACTGTCTCATCTGTCTCTCTGCATCTTTTACCATGGTATTCTAGTCTGTTTTCTGTTGGGTAGCTGATGAAGAATAAAGGTTTATTTGGCTCATGGTTCTGGAGGTTGGGAAGTCTGAGAGCAGGGTACTGGTATCTGCTGAGCATTGACAAGGGTCTCATGCTGCATCATAACTCCATGAAGGGCATGATATAGACAGACAGAGAAAAGCCTGCTAGCCCAGGTCTCTCCCCCATTTCTTATAAAGATAACTACTGCTTCCATAGAGGCACCACCATCATGACCTCATCTGATCCTCTCTCTCAAAGGACTATCTCTAGATACCATCAATGTATTAATTTGGGAGTTAAATCTCTAACACATGAGCTTTAGGGGACATATTCAAACCCTAGCATGTGGATATTTTCTGCTTATGCAGTTTTACTGTTAAAACTAGCTATTGAGCTCATAATTTCAATTCTTTATCAGTTCTAGGATTTTCATTTGATTCTTTTGTTCCAATTGTGTGTTATAATTTTTAATCTTGTTTTCTGAAATGTATCAATCACAGTTACTTTTAGCTGCACATCTGATAACTCTGGTATTCGATCTCTATGATTCTTTTTCTTTTATCTGTTGTTGTATCCTCACTCAATTTTTTGATACTCCTGGTATTTTTAAATTGAATCTCTGACATTAGATGAGAAGGAACATAGGAACTCTGCATATTGTTTATTCCAAAGAAGATTTGCCTTTTCCTCTGGTATACCTTTAGAGTATAAACAAACCATCTTAATCTAGCCAAGCACTAAAATAGCTATAGGTTGAGTCCCAGTGTTTACAGAGCTTTTTCAGTCTCTTGTTTTGTCTTATTTCTAGAAGGGATTCACATATTTACTATAAACTTTTCTCTTTGGATGGTCCCAAACTGTAGTTTTAGAATCCACAATGTCAAAAGACTATAGAAAATTCTGAATTTCTACTAAACTTTCTTCTTTTACCCTGGAAAGCTTAAAGATTAATCAAATTCTTGGTTCAGTTGCTTAGATAAAATGTGTATAGTTTATATAAAATGTATACTTTAAATCATCTCTGGATTTCTTATACTATCTAATACAATGTAAATGCTATATAAATGGTTGTTTTACTCTGTTGTTTAGGGAATAATGCAAGAAAAAAATCTATACATGTTCAGTACAGAAGCAATCATTATTATAAGCTTAACTATGTAGTTTACAATCCATGGTTCATTGAATCCACAGATGTGTAACCTACAAATGCAGAAAAGTCTGGCTACATTGCCAAACCTCAAAATATTAAAGACTTTCACATCTGGCCAATACAGAGTAGCTTGTGCAGACCAAATTTCTGCAAAAGATAACTAGAAAATATGAATTTTTAAAAATCTGTCTGAAGGCATATCATCCAAAGCATTATGATTTGGTAGAGAAGGAAAATACAGGAATGTGATTCCCAATACCTAGTAGTCTTTTTCCTCAAATAATTTCTTCTCTGGTAGGACTTTAGAAAGATAAACAGATATATTTTAAGGCTAAAATTTCCCACTCAGAATAATATATCCTTGCTCACAATAAGAATGGTTAAAGTTAAATGACAATGTAGTCATTCTGTGGTATCTGTGGGGAATCCTAGAATCAATTCCCTGCATATATCATTGTTATCTGACTATTCATCTTTCTTTTTCAGATAATTAAAGGTTTTTAAAATTACTATTATTATTATATTTCTTTGTAAAGATTTCCTGGAGTTGACAAAGGAGGTTATGAGAAAGGCTTCTTCTGAATAGAATTTTCCGGGATTGTTTGCATCATCCATATTAGTATCTTGTCCTTAGCATTATGTTTCTTAGTACAAAGTCTTAAACAGACTTAAGTTAAAAGGTAGCCATTCACAAATTTAAGAAAAAAAGCACACAACCCAGAATTTTTGTCAATAACAAGATACCCAGGAAACCAAGTGTAAGAAGGTTGTTACATGAGAATTTTTTTTTTGGGTGGGGTGGGGGGCAGCAGGCCATGGGTCAGAGGAAAAGAGTTATTTTGTTAGACAATTCATGGGACTGTTTCTGTAATAGAGTCCTTTTCCTAATGAATACTTTTTAACCCAGATTCACAGCCTTTCCTTCCAAGACATACTGGCTATAGCCTTGCAGATATTCTGCTTTGTTCTTAATTTTCTGTTCTTAAACATCATCATGTTAGATTTTCCTCATGTGGCTATCACATTATCATACGGGTTAGAAGACATTGCTTCCTCACAAGCAGTAGTAGGTCCTTATTTTATTAGTAGATATAAATGTTTCACACAGCCTGAAGGGCAGCTTAGCTTTTTATTGTTCATCTATATACTGAAATGAGTCTGTAAAATGTGAGAGTATTATAATTGCTCTTGATGTTTTTTCCTAGTTTTGTCTAGTTTCAGTGGTTTCCTTAGGCCAAATCTTTGTCTTAAACACCATAGCACTAGAATAGAAAAGACAGTTTTTTTTTCTTATATGTTAGAATAGTCTGGTCTATATTACAGTCAGGTAATTTTTCTCTGATCACAAAGAAAACAATTATTGGTACTCTGGATTCTACCCCAGGCCCATGACCTCTGAGATCAGGAAGAAGCCCAAGCTCCCCTGCCTCAGACATGAAGTATTGATGAACCTCACCATAGTCCTGTGTTCATTTCTCTTTCTCTTTCCTTTCTTATTGTCATTTCTCAAAAAAGCTTCACCACAACCTCTTTGTTAAGCATTATTAACAGGTTCATAATCTCATGCCATCTTGAGGAAATCAGGTATAACAGGCATTTTTATTTTTAATGTCTTTCAGACTGGATGACAATGCCTATGAGTAAGAAAACTACTCTCAAGGCAGATATTTCTAAAGATGAATTAGGTCAGTGGACAATAAAGGAAAGATTCACCAGAGACAGTCACTGGAAATATGCTAACCTGTTGGAATGGCAGTGCCAGGAAGGTCAGGAGATCAGCTTGCAGCAAGTGGTTCTTACTCAACAGAACTCCCCATCCAGGTTTAGTGAACAGGAATGCAGTGAATCTGGGAAGGGTTGCACCCTGAGCTCCTCTCTTGTTCAAGACCAGGAATTTCAGTCGAGTAAAAAAGCCTTTGAATGTAGTAAGTGTGGGAAAGTCTTCTCTAAGAGTTCTACCCTTAACAAGCATCAGAAACTTCATAGTGAAAAACTTAACACAAGTCAGAAAATGCATATTAAAGAGAAAAGATATGAGTGCAGAGAATGTGGGAAAGCCTTTCACCAGAGTACACACCTCATCCATCACCAAAGAATTCACACTGGTGAGAAACCATATGAATGTAAAGAATGTGGCAAGGCCTTCTCAGTGAGCTCCTCACTTACTTACCATCAGAAAATCCATACTGGAGAGAAACCTTTTGAATGCAATTTATGTGGAAAAGCTTTTATCCGAAACATACATCTTTCCCACCATCACAGAATACATACTGGAGAGAAACCTTTCAAATGTGACATTTGTGAAAAAGCCTTTGTGTGCAGGGCACATCTTACCAAACACCAGAATATTCATAGTGGTGAGAAACCCTATAAGTGTAATGAATGTGGGAAAGCCTTCAATCAAAGTACAAGTTTTCTTCAGCATCAGAGAATTCACACTGGAGAGAAACCCTTTGAATGTAATGAATGTGGAAAGGCCTTTAGGGTGAATTCTTCCCTTACAGAACATCAAAGAATTCACACTGGAGAGAAACCGTATAAATGTAGTGAATGTGGAAAAGCTTTCAGAGATAATTCGTCCTTTGCACGACACCGGAAAATTCATACTGGAGAGAAACCTTACAGATGTGGCTTGTGTGAGAAAGCCTTCAGGGACCAGTCAGCCTTAGCCCAACATCAGAGAATTCACACCGGGGAAAAACCTTACATGTGTAACATATGTGAGAAAGCCTTCAGTGACCACTCTGCTCTTACCCAACATAAGAGAATTCACACAAGAGAAAAACCTTACAAATGTAAAGTCTGTGGGAAGGCCTTTATCCGAAGCACTCACCTTACTCAACATCAGAGGATTCACACAGGAGAGAAACCCTACAAATGTAATAAATGTGGGAAGGCTTTCAATCAGACAGCAAATCTCATTCAACATCAGAGACATCATATTGGAGAAAAGTGACATGAATGAAGTTTATATGGAAGAGTTTTGAGACTCAGTAAATTAATTATTGAATATAAGATAACCCATTCTAGAGAATAAGCATAAAAACTTAAGTCAGGATAGTCATTGTATTTCTCGAGTGTCAAGGGTCACAATATCATGGGTTTTGACACTAAAATTGCAAACACCCTTCCATTGTTTAGTACTGGCCTCTAATAGCAGTTTGGGGTTTTGTTGTTGTTGTTGCTGTTGTTGTTGTTGTTGTTTTTGGTACTGGGGATTTAACTCAGGGACACTTGACCACTGAGCCACATCCCCAGCCCTATTTTGTATTTTATTTAGAGACAGTGTCTCACTGGTTGCTTATTACCTGGCTTTTACTGAGTTTGTCTTTGAACTCACGATTCTCCTGCCTCAGCCTCCTAAGCTGCTGGAATTACAGGCATGTGCCACCAAGCCTAGCAAGAACCAGAACCCAAATGGAGATTTGTTAACAACATAAAAATAGGTTATCAGATTTATAGTTTGTTAAGAAAATTATGAACTTATAAAAATTAAGATTCAGAAGTAAAAGAACAAAATAGTAAGAAAGTGACCCATAAGCATTTCATTCTACTGGAGTATTCTGTATAAGAGAGTTGCCACCTCTAATGGGGCTCTTTTTTTCTCTCCTTGCCCATACTCCTGACAGCCAGTATAAATAAAGTGCAGTCATCCATTCACCAGCCTGGAAATCATTTAAATTATGCTTCCCACCTTCAACTTGACACCATCTTTTGCCAGATTTCCCAGGTCTGTCTGTCCATGAGCTTCTTACTGGCATTCTCCTGAGCCAATTCAACTGAAAGGTATGACCCTCTTCTGACTTAACTCCTAACTGTTAAGGAATCATGTCACTTCTTACTATCACCCTTGGGAAGTAAATGATCTGAGCTCTTACACAGTATGAGTCAGAATCAACTGAATTAGTTGATTGGAATCACAGAATCAACTGAATCAGTAATAGAATCAATATCCATGATTCTGGGTAATGTACCCAAATCCAACTTTCAAAACTCAGGATCTCAGTCAAGAGGGCAAAGTCTGATCAAAATTCTTTCATTCCACAATTCTTCCTCCAGGTCTCAGCTTGATGCTAACCCTCTTCATTAATAATGATTTACTTGTGCAGCCTTTGTCCTCCAGCTGTGTTGTTCCACACACAACAGTCAGAAGTCTGCTGGGCTTCCGGTATGATAATCCCAACCACCTAGTGGTTGGTGGGGATTCCCAGCCACCTCTACTGTGACTTGCCATTTCCCAAAGTACAGTTGACATAAGAAATGAGAGCCAGTTACGAAAATGCTCTAATTCTCTTTCCCTTGACTGAAGTCTCTGTGTCCACACTGCATTAGAGTTTATTAACTACTCCCAAAATAACTGAACTGCTGTATCCTTGTCCTTGGCCAGGTTTGTTTATGTTTCTAAAGGTATGGATTCCATGTCCATAGGAAAGCAGGCAGTCTTGAATTTCTGTTTTTCTATTTGAAAGTACCATCTCCTTCATCTGGGCACTCTACCACTTTGAAAACTGTCCCATTCTGATAATGGTGAGCAATATATTGATTAATTCCATGGGTCCAGAAGTGGTCCACAGCATCATTGACATTCTCTGACCAAGGTTGTGGCCATGTCCACATTATGAGTGACACACTAATACTGCAGGTACAGTTCTTTCACCAAATTAAATCCTTAGTGCTTTTGATAAAAATCTGTGCACTTTCACATGCATAGCTTATGAGAGCACTCTCCCCTTCTCCACCACAAGGAATGGAGGAACCTGTATTACTGCACCCTGGGACATGCTCCACAATGAAGACAGAACAAATTCTGGCAAGCAGAGGGACAGATTCCTGGTTTGTGAAGTGTTGTCTGTCAATCTGGGCAACCTTCTGGCCCCCCTAAATTTTGCACCTCTGCTTCAGATTAAAGAAGAGGATATTCAATATCATGTCGGACTCTAGGCTGACACAAACTCAGAAGCTTCTCTTAGCTTCCAAGCCCAATTTCTCTAAATTCAGCTCCTGGCTAACAAGAGCCACCTGTGTGTCGACCGACATCTCCTGTTAGGTGACCAGCACCTCATGCTTTTTCCCCATGCATGTGAAGCAGCATTTCAAGAGGTTACTTGGCGTGGGTTATGTTGGGTACACACACATTCGTCTGTAGCCTTGCATGACTAGCACTTCCAGATGGTACAATAAGCTTAGAAAACCATGTTTTAGTACCATTATCTCTATGACCTGCCTGGTCCTGTCACCACCACCACCTCCCCTGCCTTTGCCTTGAATCCCTGGGAAATGCATTGCTAAGCTGGTTCACTGTACATTTTGTTTGTTGGAAGCAGGAGAATCATTGCCACTTGGCATAGGCCTGTATTTGGGCCAAGGCCTGCTGGCCGGGTTAAGAGCCTCTTGCATCTCCGTGACAGATCCAGGAGATGTATTCTATCAAAATGGCTACAGTCTGAAGGCCCTCCACTGAGATTACAGTCTGCTTTCTCAGAGTACACCTCGTTCAGGTATGAGTCTTCTTGAAATCAGACCTCTGAGATGCCTGTTCATTCATTCATCCATATTTGGGGAACCACAAAGTAACAAAGTGGCCTGTTTGATATTCCTGAGCCAACTTGAATATATTTATGGTTAATAGTGCTTGCTTGGTAGTGGCTTTATTATATTCCATATGATTAACAGTTTATTGTATGAGCTTCTTGACTAAGGGAATCACCCTTGCCTGAGCACTATTCTCTACTTTTCTAATTTGGGGTAGTATGGCTATCTGTGTAGGCATTCTGATCTGCCACAGCATTACTTTTGACTCAGTCCATAACCATGCATTTTTAAGAACCCAGAGTTCCTCAGCATGAGCTCTTCTGCCAGCTGACCTGCATGGCATGCAAGATTTTAGCAGTTACTCAGAAGAACTTTTCTCTGCCCCTTTCTGAGCCAGATTACTCCCATCACATGCAGGGAGTGCTAGGAAGAGCTGTTCAGCCCATGCTTGCTTCTCTAGTCAATTGGCCACGTAGATACCCTGTCTGTGGCAGGAAGTAAAGGACCATTATTGAGACCCTGAGGGTTTAAGGTCTCTAGCTAGTAATGTGCCATCTTCAGCAGCTGCCAGCCCACCTTCTTTTACCTCTCCACATAGTACACAAAGACAGTTCCCAGGACACACGGTGACCATGCTGTCTCAAGAGAAGCAGACCCAAGACACCTCCCCTATGAGAACTTTCCTCTCATCCTTCGAAGCTGCCCAGTGGGCAATTCCATCAGAAGGACTTGAGAAGGGGAGTCATATCTAGACTTGTTTATTCTTCATGTTTATGGGCTCCCATGAACAGCCATAAAACTGCTTGTTCTTTGGGGGAAGACTTGTTGAAATTTCCCTTTTCAAATTCCTCAATCCTCCTCTCTTAGTTCTTCTTCTACTCTCCTGACTGATTTTACAATGGGGTTCTTTCTCCCTTCCCCTCTAAGTTCACCTACCTCTGGCAGGAGCATGTCCCTGAAGTGCTTCCTTCCTCCAACTGCTTTTTGTTTTGTTTTGTTTTAATTGTCTAATTTTTTTTCAATATCTTCATTTATTTATTTTCATGTGGTGCTAAGGATTGAACCCAGCACCTCACACGTGCCAGGCGGGCGCTCCACCACTGAGCCCCAGCCCTTCAGTGACTGCTTTTTAAATGGCTCTTTGACTCTAAAGCAGACTAAAACTGTGCCTGAGCCTCAGAGTAATGCTAAATTATATGCTTTTGGTTGAGAAAACAATTTAACTCACTCAAACATTAGCAATGCCCAAGCCTCCTGCTGTCTAAATTCTCTCCTTTCCTTCCTTTTCCCTTTGCATTTTTTCCTACCCTCCCATAAACTACTGGATTAGCCAGCAGGACAGTGTGGAAACACAAAGATGTCACACCCTTCTCTGTCTAGCATGAGGTGTTCCATTCTCCTTGGCCAACCTCAATAGCACTAAATATATTTTTGGTAATATTTTCACTTTCAGTATTTTTATACCAGTTTGTGAAGGGGAAAAATTTACAAGGCTTGACTGTTTCTCATCTCTTCTGTATTTCTTAGTTTGCTAATTATTATTCCCTGCAAGTACCAGAATTTGGTAGTTCTGACATATTCCTTGCGTTCTGTGTATCACACATCGCTATCCCCACCCCCCCAAAAATGTTGATGAACAACTATTCATCAGTGTGTCTTTATGAAAATAAAATGAGTAAAGTACTCAGTGGTCTACAAAAGTTGTACTTTTGTTTCCTGGTTATTTAGTTAGATATCACTAAAACATGACCAGAAGTCATATTTTTCAGTGTTTTTATCTCTCAATGGCCAATCTGTCTCCCCAAAATAACCATCTGTTTTCACCTGGTTCCAGAAACTATAGTGTTCAGGCTATGGATATAAAGAGTTTACCACCCATCACTGGGGACAGCAGTTGACATTTGAGGACATGCCTTGTGCCAGGTCCTGTGTAAGTATATAGAAATCCACTTAATGCTATTCCTACCATCCTTTCTTGTATTCTCTTATAAGACAGTTAATCAAATAGCCACAGGAGGAGACAGAGAACAGGCTCAAGAAAACAAAGTGTAATATACTCACAAGTGTATTAAAGACAGGCATGGCTCAAAATGCAAAGCCAAATGGGAAAACACTGGGGGGTCAGAGTCAGATGAGAAGATAGAGGGGAAAGCCTTAGGCCAGAGTCTTTGTTGGCTTCTGAGGGGAAGGCAAGGCAGGGCAGGGAGAAAGGTTTAGGATTTCTTAATTTGAACAATGGTGGAGTAGGAGTACTCTCTGATTGCCTTGTTCCTGGCCCTTGGATGATTAAGGCCAAGGAACATTGCCTCAGAGGGTGGCTCTGCTTGGTTAATTTACATATTGAAGACACACCTGGCCAGCCTTGGGCAGTCTCTCCCCAGCCATCATGATTTCTTTAAATGCCAGCCATCATGATTTCTTTAAATGTTATATACAGGGCTGGGGATGTGGCTCAAGCGGTAGCGCGCTCGCCTGGCATGCGTGCGGCCCGGGTTCGATCCTCAGCACCACATACCAACAGGCATGTTGTGTCCTCCGAGAACTAAAAACTAAATATTAAAAATTCTCTCTCTCCTCTCTCACTCTCTCTTTAAAAAAAATGTTATATACAGAAAATAATATAAAATGTTCAATTTTTTTAAAAAATGAAATATTGATGGAAGACTTTGAAATTTGTTATAAGTCACACAGTTGGTAAATGATGAATCAAAGAGTAAACTCCAGATGATATAGCTCTAGGGCACCTCTTTTATGAAGTGTTGTAGGCCACATTAAAGAGCCATTTGGCTTAAGATGTTAGGGTGGAGCTCATGAGTGGGAGATTGTGTGGTGAGTCCTTAGTCTTACAACTGTGCTTCTGAGCCTGGTTTTGCACACCACATACTTCTTCCACAAGAAGACCTTCTTCAGCCCTGGATTAACGTAGTGGAAAGAGTTCAAGGTGTCTTTCCAACCTTGAGAGTCCAGAAACCATGGGTTCACAGACATATCTGAGCCTGACACCATAGCCCTGTGATATTTCATGGGCACAGTCTGTGATAACCACAGCAAGTCCTGGGCCCTGGTTAGATGAGAAGGTTATTGGTAGTAATGCCTGTTTTGGAGGTGTTCCAAAAGAGAAAAACTGAGCCTAGTGGCCAGAAAAATAGAAATAGGAGATTATTTAATAAATAATGGCAACCATGGAGAGTATACAGTGGTGTATATGAAAATAGTAACTGCCTTCATGAGCGTTAAGTGGGAAAGACAGGTATTTCAAAAGGAAATACAAATAGGACTGGGGATATAGCTCAGTTGGTAGAGTGCTTGTCTAGCATGCACAAGGCCCTGGGTTCAGTCCCCATCACCACAAAAAAAAAAAAAAGGAAGAAAGAAAGAAATACAAATAATTAGCAAGTAATTGTAGTATGTACAGTGAGAAAATGGAATAGAATACTTTCAAAGCCGGTCCATTGCGTACTGGTTACTTGCCTGAGTCTGGTGAGACAGAACACTCACAAGTTACATGAAAGGGGTTTATTACTTTACAAATAGGCACCAAGGGACAACAAATGTCTCGGATTCATGACAAATCCCTCTGCCAAGGCCCAGGAAAGCTCCCCAGGCAGATGGAGTCTTGTTGGTCTCTCTGACTTACAGAAGTTTTTTGCTCACCTTCTCTCTCTTCCTTTTTATCTTCTTCCCAAAATATAAGACTACATCAGATGTTCCTAAAAGTAACAGTGTGCACTTGTTTGGGGCAGTGCATGTTAAGGGATGAATGTGTTTGCTCTGTGGTTCTGCCTATAAGACATTTTTTAAAGACATATATAAATAAGGTTTCTGAAATGCACCTTGCAGGCATGAATGAGAACAGGGTTGTTTCAGTGAATGAATGTGCCATACAACTCCACATGTAATATACACAGAAAAGACACACACATAAAAGCCTATTTCTAATATATTATCAACACAGTAGCCAAAGTGGTCCTTTAAATTTGTCAGACCATTTCATTCCTCTCTTAAAATGCTCCAGTGTAACCCTACAATGTTTCCTCATCTCACAGTAAAAGGAAGTCTCATACCTATAATGGCCTGTGGGGACTGCACACATGTTCCCATTTTCTCATATGATGTTAGTCTGTGTGTATTAACTGGCTTGGCTATAGCACCTAGTTATTTAATAAAATGCTAATCTAGGTGCTGCTATGAAGGTGTTTTATAGATGAGGATTGTCAGGTTGGTGGTGGTGACTTAGGAACAAAGCACCAAGCAGCCCTCTGGCGTGAAAGAAACATCAATCAGGCACCTATGGTACTGCCTGTCAATCAGCAGGGTCTCCTGGCCAATCCTGGATCTCAGCCAGTTCTCCTGACCAACTCCATTGGGATAAGGGACTCTAAAAATCCCTTTCCTGTCCCAAGCCCTTCCCTTCCTGTTGTAAGCCCCATAAAATTCCAGTCCTGTGGAGCCCCCCTCCTGCCCCCGCCACCAGGCTTCTCCTCAGACCCTTCTCCTGTCCACTCTGTCAGTCTGATAAGAGTTCTGCCCAGGAGTGAGTCTCAGTAAAGCCTTGTTCAGCGGCCTTTTAAAATCTGCCTCCTTTGGTTGCTGCTTGTTGCCTGAACTTACAGGGTTAACATCTCCAATCAGTTGATTTTAGGTAAAGGAGATTGTGCCCAATAATATGGTGGACTTCATCCAACCAGTTGAAGGCCTCAGCAGCAAAAAATTGAGGTTTCCCAGAGAAGAAATTCTGCCTCTAGGCAACAGCATCAGTTCCTGCCTGAGCTTCCCTGCCCTACAGATTTCAGGCTTGCCAACCCCTACTATCATGTGAGACAATTTCTTAAAAGATATCACTTTACATTATGTGTATACATTAGTTTGAATGTGTTCATGTGTTGGAAAATGAATCTTCAACATAACAGTGTTGAGAGGTGGGGTCTTAAGAGGTGATTAGGTTAAGAGGGCTCTGCCCTTATATTGAATTAATGCCATTATTGTGCTCATGGGGTAGTTATCAATGGATGGGTTCAGCCCCCTTGTGCCACCTTCTTGCCTTCTTCCTTCTGTAATGGGATGACACAGCAAGAAAGCCCACATCACATGCAGGCCTCTCAACCTTGGGCTTCCCAGTCCCCCGAACGTTTAGAAATCAACCTCTGTTCTTTATAAATTATCCAGTCTGCGATATTCTCTTATACTAGCACAAAATGGACAGAGATGGTAGATAGATAGATAGATAGATAGATAGATAGATAGATAGATAGATAGATAGAAAGATAGATAGAAAGAATGTAGATAAATAGATCCTCCTGGTTCTGTGCCTCTGGAGAACCATGACTGATATCTCACCTTCCCTCTCCTACACCATGCAGTCTCTGCTAAATCCCCAGACACACCAGGCACACCCCGGCTCTGGGGCCTCTGCACCCACTACTACATCTGCGGGGTGCCCCCATTCCCAGAGATCCCCATGGATGACTCCTCACCTCTGAACTGAAGCTTCCTCTGGACACTGTCAAACTTGCTGCCTGTCCCTCTAGTTTCCCATATACTTAGGCTACTCTTCTGTTCCATTTTCCACAGTGCTGATCCCCTTCTCACATACTATGTGATTTATTGATTCATATTGTACATTGTTCATTCTTTGTCCCTATGACTAAGGTTTAAGTCCCTTGAAAGAAATAAGCCTTGTCTGTTTAGTCCACTGAATAAGCACCCAAAGGTACTTATGGAACAGTAATGAATGAGCAGTCAGTGGGAGTCAGTGATTAGGGGGTCCTTGGGTGTGAGATTGAGTCCTGAACCTGGTCAGCTATGAGGTTTGATTAACCAGTGGGGTCTCCATTCATGAAGTGTGGTGGAACTGGGAGAGTCAGCAGGTATGTGAGGGTGGTAGCTGGGGCATCTGTGCAGGGATCATTAAGGATGCTGACTAACTGTGAGAGAGGTGAATGGTCTTGCCCATGGTCACCTGGCTAGTGAGCAGCAGAGCTGGAGTTGATCTCAAGAAGCCTCAACCACCATATAATACAACTTCAAGGTGTGAAAGCTGAGTTAAGGAAGTATAGATTGGCAGAGGCAAATGAGACTGATTTTCCCCTGTCAAATCACATTGGGAAAAATAACTCAGAGGTTGATACTACAAATTAATTCAATATTCATGAACTTTGGTAGAATAACCTGAGAGTACTTAATCCAGCATATCATATCAGTGAACTATACCTGAGGCCAGGATCCTCTAGATTAAAGTATCCTTCCTGGTATTTCTATTTTTTTTTTTTAGTATAGCTAAATATTAGAATGAATCACAACCAGATTGTGGTGCTAGGAGAGGACTGGGACTATAGTAATTGGTCACAGCAACATGATACCATGGAACAACTATTCTGATTCATATGTAGGATGAATAAGAGGGGGAAGATACTGAAAGTAGAGGACTAGTTAGTATCCTCCACCACAGTTGCTATAGACTTAATGTTGTGTCACCCCAAAATTTCAATGTTGAGAGCCCAACCTCCGATGTGATTGTGTTAGGAGGTGATTCTTGAGGGAGATGATTAGGTCAAGGAAAGTGGCACTAATTCCTCATGAAGGGGATTAGTGCCCTCATAAAAGAGCCTTCAATATATAAAAATTTCAAAAGAACAAAAAATGCAATAAATGTGACAAAACTGTGTAATAAATGTGTCCCAAAATTCACACTGGTGAAAGTCTAAGAACATAATTAATATTAAAAAGCTCTCAGGACCCTAGATAAAGTTGTTATGGTGGGTGAAGTTAGCATCAAGATGAAATTTTATTTTGCCCTGGAGAACTCGTGCTGGAGGAAAAAACTGTAATTGTGATAAATATGGACTAAGCCTCTAATTCAAAACTCCACTTTCACTAGAACATAATTTATACCTGGGAGAAATAATTCAAGGGCAATGATAAGAAAAAGCTTTCAGGTTATAACTCAGCTCTTATTCAACAGAAGGGAAACCATACTTTGAAAAAAATGCAACTTTATTCAGGAGTTAGTTTGATTGAACATCAGGGAATTCAAAACTAGGCAGCAAAAAACTATGGGGAAATCTTTAGGGTATTGTCAGGCCTCCCGTGAAAACACACAAACACACACACACAAAGAGGAAAGGAGGAAATTTTATATACACTGAATATGGAAAAGCCCTCTTATAGAAATTATCCCTTTGAAGTGCATTGAATTCTGAAAGGAGAGAAACCCCATGACTGTACTAAATATGAGAACCCCTTTAATAATAGAGGATGCCCCACAGTACACAAAATAGTTCATGTTGTGGAGATAACCTGCAAGTAAACTGCATGTGACAGAGCCCATAGAGGAAGTGGGAACTCATTCAGAGAGTTCCCATCAGGGACTGGGGCACTGTTCAGTGTTCAACAAGTAGAGCATTTGTCTAGCATGCATTAGATCCTGGGTTCCATCCCCAGCACTTAGGGAAGAAAAAACAATTACCATCAAAGAGCCAGGGAGGATGAGGGTAGGGAGTATGTGAAAATCTTTGGCCAGAATCCAGAATAAATAAGAAACCTCTCACATTGGGGAGAAATTCTAAAATGCAGTCAACATGAAAATACTTTTACTAAGAAGTCATTCTAACTTTAAGTCAACAGAGTCTAGAATGGGGAAAACCTTACCAAAAAAAAAACATGTTTTAAAGTGTCTACAGGAGGCTGAAACAGGAAGATTTCAAGTTCAAGGTCAGCCTTGGCAACTTAGTGAGACCGTGTCTCAAAATAAAAAATTAAAGGGCTGGGGATGTAGCTCAATGACAAAGTGCTCCAATATCAGGGGAAGAAAAAACTATAAATCAAAACTCAGTACATCAGAGAATTTATATTGGAAGAAACAGTTGAGGAAAACTTCATTTGGAGATCAGAGCTCATTTACTCTAAATATATAGGAAAACAAAACCCTATCAAAGCACTAATGTTGAAAAGGCTTTTACCAAGAAAACATTACACATGAGGTTACCCACACAGGAAAGAAGTCCTACAAAATGAATTTTGACAGCAATAAATGAAACTTCATAATTCACACTATGGAACACCCCAGGAACACAACAAAAGTAAGGAAGGAGAATCTGTACACCTGAAATGTTATTCTGAAGAGAAGCCCTGTTAATTTCAGAACGTAGAATCACTGAGCCCCAAGGTCAAAAACTCATGGTGCATCAGAGAATCTGCATGAAGTGTTCTTCAGTGTCGACAAATTAGTTCCAGACATTAAATGCTAGAGAATCCATGGTAAACCAAAGTCAACTTAATACATTTAAATTCCCCCAGGGAAACAAAGTTCCATAACTGAAACCCAGCTGTTTTCAAGAGTATCAGAAACTAAACTCCCATGTGTCTTGTACTCCAAGCATCTTCCTCCCCACGCCTCATGCTCACCTTTCCAAAACGACCTCCCAGAAAATATTGGGAAAGAAACATGTTTGTGTTCATCCTATGTTATGTGCTTGGAATCAGTCCTCACCCTAGAGACAACTCGTCATTGGTCCCTACGGGGACCTCCTGAACACAACCCCACACAGCCATCAGAGGGCAGCAAATACCATCCTGTTCCTCACACCACTAACCCACAGAAGTGCATTGGAATTTCTTAAGGTTGGGCAATTTAAGGGAGTGTACATGGGAAAAGATCCCACGGGAAAGTGTGCACCAATTTCTTGGCTCACTTTGGTGTCTGCCACAGCTCCATCTCTGCTCACAGGTCGCTCTCCCCAGGGTTTGTCCCTCTATAGGAGCAGAGTATTACTGGAGCCCAAGTTACTCAGGTCGGAGTACAGACCCATAGGTGTCCTCTCATTGGAGACTGCTTCCCCTTAACTCCAACCCCGGAGTTCATCCTGGGATTGACAGGGTCTTACGCAATGCCCACTCCTCAGGTTACGGTGGTTGTTTGAGGAGTGGAAACTCACCCTGGGGCTTAATCATGATCTCTGAACTTCAAACCAGAGAGTGAGTTTAGTCCCTCTCTAGAGGTAGAATTCTGTCAGTAACTATTTCCTACCTTGCGTAGAAAGTCTGATCTGCAGGAAGGAAATATGAAGCCAACATACATAGAAAAGCAGAGCTCAAATGTAAAGTGAGGCTCCAGTTCTTTTTTAAGGCCAGCCCATCTGTGCTGGGTATGGGCTTCATAAACTCTGCCTCTGATTGTTCACTGTGGACCCAGACTCTACAGCTCCCACTAGGAAGCGGGGGACAGAGGAGAAGAGAGAGCAGCCAGCCCCATTCACACACCACCCTGCTACTTGGGGTCCTCTGCGTTCTCGCCCTTGGGTGGGGCGGCCGCAGCGGAGGTTGCCTTGAGGCTCCGCTTCCGCTTCTGCACGTTCTGCTCTGGATGGAACAGGATGACGTAGGTCTTGGGCACGTAGAGCATGCCGAGGGACACCGATGCACTCAGGCTCAAGGACACAGTCAGTGTAGTGGTCTGGATGTAGATCTAAGCCATGGAGGAGGGAATGAGATGGGAATCAGGCCTGTTCTCTCCCAACTCCTCTCCCTTCCAACACCTGTTTCCACCTCGACTGGAGGTGAATGACAATGAGTGCTTAGGACAGGATGGCAGCAGAAGCGCAGGCCAGTGGCATTAAGAAGTTGGCAGGCAGAGTGTGGCTCTGGTGTAGCAGGAAGGAAGGTGAGTGACCAGGCTGTGTGGGTTGTTAAGACTAGAGACACACTTGGGAAAATGGTCCCTATGCCTAAAAAGGGCTTGAGTATGTTAATGAAGGAAACAGCATGTTCCAAATATGTAAATGAATGAATAAATAGGGCATACAGAAAGGATCAAATGGACAAGTAGATGGGCAACACAAGTGAACAAAGGTTCTACTATATTTATGAATCAATCATTATGGAAATGGACCATTAGATTGTGTTAAGTGGTATAAAGAGTATGAAGAAACTGAATAAAAAATAAGTTAGGAAGAATGTAGTTAAGAAGAGGTGTTAGAAGAATGGATGAACAAATGAATAAAGCAAGAGAGGGATGGCTGAATGAACAAGTACAGGGGTATTTTAAAAACTAATGAGTAAATATTTAAGTACATGAGTGAATCAACCAAGTAATCATTCAAATCATGAAACATCCAGATGGGTGGCCCAACTCTTGGCACAGTCAAGCCCTTCAATTGACAGAAAACAAACAAGACAGCAAAATCTACTGGGGGAGCCTGATTACCTTTTCAGCTGACTGGGCAGTGCCAAAGAAGATAGGCACAAAAGCCAGCCAGATGATGCAGGTGGTGTACATGGTGAAGCCAATGGGCTTGGCCTCATTGAAGGTCTCAGGCACACCGCGAGCCTTGATGGCATACACAGTGCACGTGACCATGAGCAGGAGGCTGTAGCCCAGGCAGCCGATGAGAGACAGATCCGACATGTCACACTTGAGCACCCCTCTGGCCTGCTCCGGGTCCACCGTCCGCTGTTCCTCGTAGTCAATAATGCTGTGTGGGGGCTGGGCCCCCAGCCATGCTATCACACCCACCACCTGTGGAAGCCAACACCAGGTCAGGGACACCCCTCTATCAGACACACCTGCCCCAGTCCCCACCCTAGGTCTTAGGCAGGTTAGGATTCCTTTGAAGCTCCTGACTACTGAGTAGATGCTTAGGCACAAGAAAACCACCATGAAGAAGAGAGAGCAGTTCAGGAGGAGACATGCAAAAAGAGGGGCTATATGAGGGTATGTGTTGGGTAAGGGGCAATTTGACATTCTCTATCCATTATCAATGCCATTTACTTGAGTTCCTTCAAAGTACTGAACACATCATCTTTCTCAGCCTCAGTTTCTCCATTTACAGAATGGACCTCATAATCTGTTGTTAGGACACAGTGCCATCTTAGAGGGGGAGCAGCTGGTGTCACCAATTAGGGCCAGGCCCAAAAGAGGAATTCTTTCCTCACAGGTCTCACATAGGCATTATATCCATTCCACAGATGTGAAAATAGTAGCTTGACCAAATCTAGTAAGAGGATAAACTTAATTCCTGAGGACCCACTTTCTTCTCCAAATCCAGAGAACTATTGGACAAACTATCATGAAATTATGTATGAATGCATACCTCAAAATACGGGCTCATCACAGGCAAGAGAAACAAATGGAGAATGGTAAGAAGGTGAGCTAATGCTGAAGTGCCTTGGATAGTATCAGAGTCAGAACAAGGAATTTCAATTCCATGTTGGCAGGAGGCATGACTTTGAGCCAATGGCTGCTAAGGAGCAGAAGCTAAGATGCTGCATAAAGGTGAGACCCTGGGGAGGCTGTGCATATGTTCATTCAGGCTGTTCACTACACAAGAGTGCCTGATCAGATGGGCAGGTGGGACTGAAACCTAGCTAACACTCCAATGTCATGCTGTGCATCCCAGGAGAAGGGACACTTTCTAATAATTTGTCCACTCAGAAGGAACACCTTTCTGTGATTATCTCAATGGCAGCAACTCCATAAACAAGGGTCTAATAAAAGCCATATCCTGTCCAGGAAAGCAACGTGATATTCCTCTTAGAACATGGCTTTTGGTGGGGGTAGGGATCACATCAGAAACCCAAGGCTGGTGATGCACAGGAATTGCAACCAGAACATACCCTTACCAGGTTTGCAATCCATATAATTCATAACAAATCTTCACCCTGTACTTACTTATAAGGATGTCCTATAAAATAATAGAAAATAAGCAATGGATAGGAACAGGCAAGTCACAGAAGAGGAAATTCCAAAGGTCCAGTGTACTAGGAATTAGGTATAGGCAAATTAAAGGAACAATTAGATACTATTTTACATTCATCATATTGGTAGAAATGCCTAGTGAAGCTGAAGGAGTGGCTCTTTTAAAAGATCTGTTGTTTCTAGAAATGGGGATGTAATGTGGGGAGTCCAAAGAGGTTTAACTAGGCAAATGATCCTGGGGTCTGGGGGGACACTGAATATAGTGTAAGCATCTCTATCCTGTGGATGAGGGGAATCATGGACTGAGGAGGGGAAGCTCCAGGTGTGTGATCTGGAAGAAGACAGGCGCACCCTCAAGGCATGGAGAATTACATTTATCAAGGCCATGGGTGGAAATGAACATGATTTATGCAGAGCTGGGTAGGGAGAAGGGATCCCCTGCAGTAGAGAATATGTCATGTCAAAACAAGCTGAGTGAGGTAACACAGAGCCTGGCTGGGTCTGCCATGTCGCACCTGGTCCACCTCCCCAAGCCGCATGCCTCTGCTCAGGAAGTATCCAAGGCTTTCCAGATGATGAGAGTCATGCCCAGTGTTGCAATATAACTGTCTTAGGGAAAAACCCCATGGGAACTCCATTTTTAATGCTCATTACATCATGAAATACCAGCCATTTAATGGAATTAAATGTTTTGCTCCACAGTAAAACACTGGTCCCTGGGCCTCTCTTTTCTATCACCCTTTAGAAAACAGAGTCTTTGTTTCGGGAAAATCAGTCATGTATGTTTTTACCCTATTTTCATAATGTGAGCCAAACTCTGGAAGAGCACATTCAATTAATCAAAATCAATGGCATTGTTCTTCAGTAAAATGAGTTGTTTTCATTTAGAATACTCAGAGTAGGGCTCTACCCCTTGTGGTTTTTAACTATTTAATTACTTTTTTTTTGTACTGGGGATTTAATCCAGGGGTGCTTTACCAGTGAGCTCCAGCCCTGGTCCCTTTCGATTTTTTATTTTGAAACATGATCTCACTAAGTTGCTTAGGACCTCACTAAGTTGCCGAGTCTAGCCTTGAATTTGCGATCCTCTGGTCTCAGCCTCCCAACTCTGTGGGATTACCGGCACGCGTCACTCCGCCCAGTCTTTTATTTGTTTTTGGAACTGGAGCCAAAGGAAAAGAGTGATTCTAGAAACACCATTTCTCTGATTTTTTTTTTTTTAAGGTTAAGGACAGACTCCAGCCCAACCCCCAGTACATCCTCCCTGTCACAGGGGTGAAGGCCTGAGGACCCACCTGCAGGGAGGTGAGGCTGAAGGTGATGAGGAGCTGCGAGGTGGGGCTGATGAAAGGCGGGGGTGTGACCGAGCGCTTCCCTTGCTCAAAGATCCGGTAGATGCGGTTGGTCTTGGTGAGCAAGGCGGAGTAGCTGAGAGTGGTGCCCAGGCCCAGGAAGAGCCTGCGGGCGGCACAGACGGCGTCCCCCGGCTCTGCCACCATGAGGAAGGTGATGGCATAGATGAGGAAGATACCGGTGAGGAGCACGTAGCTGAGCTCGCGGCCAGAAGCGCGGACGATGGGGGTGTTGTTGTGCCGCACAAAGGTGGCCACCACCGTGGTGGTGGCCATGATCCCCAGCACGGCCAGGAGGAGGGGCGGGGCAGCCCAGGGGGAGGACCAGGTCAGGCGCACCACGGGCGTGGGGCGGCAGCCGGTGTGATTGGGCGTGGGCCTCATGTCCCCGGGACAGGCCTCACAGGTGAACTCATCCACCTGGAAGCGGTACCCATCGCAGGCCTCGCAGTGCCAACAACAGGGAACACCCTTCACCATCTTTTTACGCTCACCGGGCACACAGGGGAGGCTGCATTGGGAAATGGGAACCTCGCGTGGGTCGCCTGACCACTGCAGGGCTTCCACCTGGATAGATGAAACAGGCCAGTGACCTCTACTACCAGGAATTAAGGGCCCATCACCTACCCCCAGACCTTGGTCTGTGCCACTTACGTCCAGCCTGAGGACCTCTGCCCATTGGCCCACAGCCTGGTACCCGCCACTGCTGGCACTGCCATTTGTTGCCTGGTACTGGAAGATGTCGTATCGCCCGGGCGCATCTCCATTCTCATTGAACATCACTGGGGTTCCCGCGCTGCCTGGAGAGAGAAGCTGTCATCCTTAGCTGTTCCAGCCCATGAAATTCCGCCTCCTGGTGAGTCCTTGAGGGCGGGCCAGGATGAAGAAAGAGCTTCACAAGCTCCTGAGAAGATGCACAACATCACTAATCAAGGAAATTCACATTAAAACCACCACAAGGAGTTTGGGGCATAGCTCAGTGGTAGAGTGCTTGCCTGGCAAGTTCAAGGCCCTGTGTTGGATCCCAAGCAGCACAAAAACACATGATGCCAGTTCATGCCCATTAGGATGGCTACTACTAAGAAACAGAAAATAACAAGTGTTAGTAAGGATGTGTAGAAAGTGGAACCCTTGTGCACTTTTGATGGGAATGAAAAATGGTGCAGTCACTATGGAAAACAGTATGGTAATTCTTCAAAAAATTAAAAATAGAATTAGCATGTGATCCAGCAATTTCATTCCTGGTTATGTACCCCAGAAATGCAAAGCAGGGAATCGAAGAGCTATTTGTCCATCCATGTTCACAGCAGCCCTATCCATGATATCCAAAAAGTGGAAGAAATCCAATGTCTGGAGATGAGTGAATTGGATACACGAAACAGGTCTATACATACAATGGAATATTATTCATCCTGAAAAAGGAAGGACATTGGATACATGCTTCAACAGGGATGATACCTGAGAACATTATGCTAAATGAAGCCAAATGCAAAAATACATTTGTGATTCCACTGACCTGAGGTAGCTACTGTAGTCAAATTCAGAAACAAAATAGAACAGTGATTGTGGGGGGAGAGAACAGGCAATGAGGAGCTGTTGTTTAACAGGTATGGAGTTTCACTTTTGCAAGATGAAAAGGGTTCTTGGAGATGGAGGGTGACTATGGTTGCCAACAATGTGATATATTTTGTTACTAAACTGTACATTTAAAAATGATGAAGGCAGTAAATTTTGTTATATGTATTTTACCATAATCTAAAAAGAAAAGAAAAAGTGTGGCTATCTGGACTGATGGATGACTTGTACAAAGTCGGAGTAACACCATGAAATTGGTCCCAATGTGAACAATCAGCTTTACTTCTTTCAGAAGCTTGTTCTACCAGCTTGTACAGCTGGTCTGGAGGAAAATGAAGTTGAATTCCTTAGCAAGGGGCATGGTCAGTAAATATTTGGTGGAGGAACAGAGTTTTTGATTTTATGAAGGACAGTAATTGAACAGAAGTGTCTTTCTACCTGTAGACCACACACAGCTTGAGTCCATTAGGGTCTACTTGGAGCCCTGAACATGTGCCAAGCCTTCTGCTGGTTCCAGGGGACATGTCAGACTCATTCCTTATGCTCAAGCAGCTCAGAGCCTAGCTGAGGCAGCATAAGGCCCAGGACACAGAAAGCCTCCAAGCTCTGTGTAATGGAGGGGAGAGTTGTGC